CGCTGGAGACGTGCTGGGGGGGGGGGGGCGGGGAGGCACCATTTTTCACTCCAACCGGGGAAAGGGGGATGGGGGGGGGGAGGGGGAGGGAGAATGTCCAGCTGTGTTCAAGGAAGTGTGATAGAGGTGAGTGGGGGGGGGGAAGGGGGGAGGAGAGGGGATGGCGGATAAAGGTGTGGTCACTCTGGACTTCCAGGCTGCCGTAAATCGAGGCGCGGCAGCATCCGTGTCTCCGGAATGGCTCTGTGGAAAATCATCATCATCGTCACTATTGTTATTTTTATTGTTGTTACTATTATTGTTGTTGTTGTTGTTGTTATCGTCATTGTGGAATTTCTTATTTTCGAGTTTCATTGTCGTTGGGATGAGATATACTGGCGATTTTGGTATATAGTTTGGTCTGACGCTTTCCAATTATTATTTTTCCAGTTAATATTCATCTCCACCATCATGGAGTATCGTCATCGCCATCAGTCACTATCATTACCGACAGCCTCGTCATCATTATCATTAATCATCGTTATTATTATTGTTATTGCTGTTGTTGTTACAGTTATTGTTGTTATTATTATTATTATTATTATTATTATTATTATTATTATTATTATTGTTACTATTGTTGTTATTATTATTATTATTATTGTTACTATTGTTGTTGTTATTATTATTATTATTATTGTTACTGTTGTTGTTGTTATTATTATTATTATTATTATTATTATTATTATTATTATTATTATTATTATTGTTATTATTAATCGTCTATCAGCCTGACCATCACTACCTTCCCCTTATCTAAACCCGCCGTCGAGAATACTTGAGTTTTGTTCGTGGGCTGTCGATGGAGGGGGGGGGCGAGAGCGAATTCCCGGGAACTGGAATGTGTCGGGAATCGACGGCGCTCGTTGGCGGATTGGAATGAGGGAGGAGGGGGGGTGGGGGAGGGTAGAGGGTATCTTAGAGGGTAGTGGGGGGAATGGGAGGGGAGGAGGGGAGGGAGAAGGTAGGGGGAAAGAGTCGAGGAGGAGGAAGGGGAAAGGAAAGGGGAGTGGGGGGGAGAGGTGTATTAGGGGATGGAGTGAAATGGGGAAGGGGAGGGGGCTGTGTCGTTATTGGGGGGAGTCGGGGAGTGGTCTTTTACACCGGTTCTGCACGAGATCGCGTGAATTATTTAGCGGATGTGTGATTCTCATCCCCCACCTCCCCCCCCCCCCGATCCCTTCCCCCCCTTCTCGTTGTCCCTCCCCCCCCCATCCCTCTCGCCTTCTCGTATTCCCTCTCCCCCATCCCCACCTATCCCGCCCATCTACCCCCTCCCCCCCCCGCAGAATGGCCCGTGATTTGCAACGGCATGAACTGATCAATGTATAGGGGTTTTGTTGTTAAAAGTGAGTGGTAAGAGTTCTGCATGCGTGTTTTTTTTTTTTTTTTTTTTTTTTTTTTTTTTATTCTCTGACGCGTTATTCTTTGTTTCGGTTGTTTGGGAGTGATTTTGAATGGCTGGTACTCTTTGTCTTTTTTTTCTGTTTCTTTATTTGTAATCTACTATCTAAAGTGTTATTTTTTCCTTTGTCTCTTTTGTCATTTTCTTTGCCTGCACGTTCGCCTCCGTCCTTTAACCCTTTTCTCCCTCCTCCTGTCTGTCTGTCTCTGTCTCTGTCTGTCTCTCTCTGTCTCTCTCTCTCTCTCTCTCTCTCTCTCTCTCTCTCTCCCTCTCCCTCTCTCTCCCTCCCTCCCTCCCTCCCTCCCTCCCTCCCTCCCTCCCTCCCTCCCTCCCTCCCCCCCCCTCTCTCTCTCTCTCTCTCTCTCTCTCTCTCTCTCTCTCTCTCTCTCTCTCTCTCTCTCTTCCCCTCCCCTCTCTTCCCCTCCCCTCTCTTCCCCTCCCCTCTCTTCCCCTCCCCTCTCTTCCCCTCCCCTCTCTTCCCTTCCCCTCCCCTCTTCTCTCCTCTCCTTTCTCCTCTCCTCTCTGTCTCTTTCTCTTTCTCTCTCGGTTCCCTTGCGCGGCGACCCTTCGAGCGGTACCTCCCGAAAGTGTCACGGCTGTCGGCGCTGTGACAAAAGAAGCAAGCAAGCAAACAAACAAACAAACGCGGCCCAAAAAGGGGACAAGGGCGCGCGTCCGTTCGCCAGAAAATGCGAGGGCGAGGTTTTCGGGCGTCGAAGGGAGGGGAGAGCTGGGGTGGGGGTGGGGGTGGGGAGGGGGGGGGCGACGGGGAGGATGTGGGGGGTGGGCGCAGGGTGGGGTTGGTGTGGGGGGTGTTACGGGCGTGATGACGGTGACGTTGATGTCGGGATGGAGGGTGGTGATGGAGGGGGGGGGGGGTTGGTGAGTGTGGGCGTGGGTGGGTGGGGGAAGGGGGGGGAGGTTGTGACGGTAAGCCTCTCTCCGTTTTCATCTCCCCCTCTTTTTCTCTTCTTTTCCCATGTCTCGTTGGTCTTCTTTTCCTCTCTGTTCTTTTTGCTCGAGGTTCCTCAGCTCTTTTTATCTGTTCATTTTCCGACGGTGAGACAGCTTGATGGAATGAGTGTGGTGGGGAAGGGGGGGGTAAATGCTTCACTAATCTGACGTGATGTCAAACCATGACCTCTCTCTCTCCTCTCCTCTCCTCTCTCACTCACTCTCACTCTCACTCTCACTCTCACTCTCTCATTCTCTCATTCTCTCTCTCTCACTCTATCTGTCTATCTATCTCTCTATCCATCCATCTTTGTATCTATCTATCTCTCGCTTTCGTTATCATTTTCTCCTATTCTCCTTTCTTCTTATCTCCTTTTTCTTCTCCTTTCCTTCCCCTTTTCTTCCCTTCCCCTTCTTCCTTCGGAGGCTTCCATCTCTCCTCTCCTCTCCCCCATCTCCCCTCCTTTTCCCCCTTTTCTCCTCTGCTCCCTTTCTCTCCTTCCATCCTTTTCTCCTTTCCTCCCAGCTCCCCCCCCATCCCTCTCCCCCCTCCCCCCCACAGTAAACCCGTTCTCCTTTTATCATCTTCTTCCCTTACCTTTTCCTTCTCTCCATACACATGCATTGCGGTGCGAGGCCTGCGGACGTGATGGCGGTGATAAATTGGACCAGTGACGTCATTAGCAATTGATTATTTTGTGTCTTGCATGATGAATGAAAGGGGAGGTTGATCGTAAAAAAAAAGATTGATGGAAAACCTTGCTGATTGTCACATTTTTCATGCCTTTGCCTGGATGAGTCTAATTTGATGGCACAATTGATCAGGATTGATAGGCCTGGGTGATTTTTATTTATTTATTTATTTATTTATATATAGAGATAGATGGATAGATGGATGGATGCTTATACATTAACACACGCACACATTAATCCATCCATTCATCCATCATTCCATCCTCCCATCCTTCATTCCACCAATCCATTTCTTTCATCCATACATCTGGGCACCACCACCAATTTTCCGGCCGTATTGGTTCTAAGATTTGCCGGTCCCACAGAGGCCGCATGGTGATCAATAATACTCCCTTGATCTCTGATAATGCAAAGGAAACCAAGGCTGCTCTTATTTCGTCGTCCTTCGTACTGCATGCCTAGTACGTAAGGTACTCTTGTGGGATGTATCGTTATTTCTTTTCGTTTTTATTTATGTTCTTTTTATGCTTTGAAAGTTACTTCATCGTTCTTGCCAGTTTCATTGGTATATTTTGCACGGAAATTGGAGTGCAGATTCTGGTTTAAAAATCATTTAAAGGTCTTGTGAAATCTTACGTTTTCAAGTATGGAAACAGCATGTATGTGTGTGTGTACATGTATGTATGTACGTACACACACACACACACACACACACACACACACACACACACACACACACACACACACACACACACACACACACACACACACACACACATACATACATACACACATACACACACACACACACACACACATATCTTTGTGGAGACAAGAAAATAAGAAGTACGGAGGTAGTGACAAGGCTTGAAAGAAAGAGGAGAGAATAAAAGATATTCCCTCCCTTTCCCTTCCCCCCCTCGCTTTTTTCTCTCGACGGAGAGAAATTGACATCAGAATTCTATAATCGTTCCCCAATTTAGGAAGTTGCCGAAGTTTTTGTTTTCAAGATTAGCTGACAAACTTCCATGGAACTGTAGCCTTATCTGCCAGTCGTCCGTAATTCTGTCTGCGTTAAAAGACGTACCCGGGGCCATTGTCGCTGAGAAACCGTTGGTTTACCTTCTCATATGCGAAATAGGATCGCGTACGTGACTAATTGTGCTTGTCCGTGCGTGCTTGCGTGTTTGTGTAGTCATGGATGTGTGCGTGTTCCGATTTTTATTTTTTTTGTGTGAGTATTTTTATGCATCTTAGTGTGTGTCTTTAATTATGCATTTCAATATATAGATGTGTGAGATAATGGGATGGTTTTGCTGGTTATGGAGGTGTGCGGAGGCCGATGCGGATAATTGGTTATAACAAGCCTTTTCGAAGGATTTGGGGCACCCTCGATAGTCCCCTTCATTTGCATTTTAATGGCGTTGAATCCCTGGTATTGCAGTTCGCGTCAAAGTTATAATTAATCTGGTGGACGAGGTTATCGGTACTTCTTTTTTATTGGGTGTGGATATTCTGGTAATTATCATGATTTTATTCGGATTTTTTTTTTCTTTTTTTTTATGTATGTGTGTTCGCCTCTTTGTCGTTGGCTTGGTGGTTATTGTTCATAATAGAGCCACTGGTTTTTGCATCACTTATTGTTTTTGTTGTAATTATTGTTATAATCGTAACTATTTATTTTATTTGTGTATTTACTTGTATAATTAATATGTATAATTGTATAGGTTTTGTTATATATACAAATTAATATTTGTATTTAAGTATATTTATGATAACTCATATTGTGCGTGATAGTTGCTATGCATGTTGAATATGTTTCGGCACTTAACCCCCCTGTAAAAAAAATAAAAGAACAAACCATAAACCAGAAGGATGATAATGTTTGATTTTCTCCGTTTTCTTCCAGGAACCAATCAAGGCAAAGGCGCCTCAGTTGCACCTCGAGTACAGGTTCTACCGTATGCTGGACGCGGTGGGAGGTAAGGCGCATTTGTGTGTACTTTTTGTGTAATTTGTGTGCGTGTGTGTGTGTGTGTGTGTGTGTGGTAAAACATAGAGGACTTGTGTACTGTGATGAATATTTCAAGTGATTTTTTTATCTTTTTCTTTCGTGATTTAGCACAGCATGTGTTTTTGTATTTTATATATATATATATATATATATATATATATATATATATATATATATATATATATATATATATATATTTGTGTTCCCAGATTTTTTTTGGGGGGAAGGGGATAAAAAATAAAGGAAAATGTGTAGTATCAGTTAAATTGGCATTCTGTATTTGTTTGGTTTGGTTGTTTATTTCTTGGCGTCTCTCATTTCCTGGAAAATGTCGACAACCCAGAGAAACGCAAACAAACGTTTGTCGGCCATTAGCAGAACGTTCCCCGAAACGTTGTCAGAGGCCCTTCAATCCGATCACGTGACACCCCCCCCCCCCCCCCTCCCCCCACAGCTAACTCCGTCTCGGATAAATGCCTCAATTAGGGTAATTGGCGGCGGGGTCATTACCAAGCACACAAACGGGTTCGGATGACTATTAGCCGAGGCGGGACAAGATCCCAGCTCGATTATCCTTTTTGTTGACACGCGCAAATACCGTTGCACATGTTTATTGCATGTGTTGCGCTCACTGCAAGCGTCTTCATTTGCATGTTGGGAGACTTATTATTAGCATAAATTATTATTAATATTATTATTATTATTATTGTTATTATTATTATTATTATTATTATTATTATTATTATTATTATTATTATTATTATTATTATTATTTATCTTCAATGTTTTTATTATTATTGTTATTTATATTCAATATTTTTATTATTATTATTATTTGTTTGTCAATGTCCCCACCACGACCACTTGCGACATTTCCGGCGAGAACTCGACAAAGGGAACAAGGTCGTTTAATCTTCGAATTAGGACATCGTTCAGCTAGGCGTTTTGTTCCTTGTCCCGGTCATGCATATTTATTGCGTTTGTAATGTTTTTGTTTGTTGTTTTTTTTTATTGATCAGATTTCATTCGTATATTGCGAGGTTGCCATCGTGTTGGGCTCTTTGACGTCAAGAGTTCTGTAGCGCGTGCAGGTTTCATGCTGAGGTTGCAAGCGGTAAAAGTAGCGGAAAATAAGCATGTGTACTTACGTCATGTGTGAGTGTGTTAATCTTTGTTCATGTGTGTTTGTGTATGTTTGTTTTTACCTTGTTTTTTACGATTTTGGAGGGAGTGCGAGAGAGGAGAAGGCGTGCGTGCGTGCGTATTTGCGTGCGCGCGCAGTTGTGGACTCTCGACGTACTCGGTAATCAGCTGATGACGTTGCGGGCGCGGCGATGGAATGGGATAGCGGCTTGTCGGTTGGTCGTGTGCAGGGGCGTGGGTATTTGTTTGTTTGTTTGTCTTGTTTCTTGTGGGTGGTGTGGATGTCATTACTTCCCTTCTCCCTCCCCTGCTCTTCAGTCTGTTTCTCTTTTGGTTCTTGTTTGTTCGTAGTCCTCTCTCCTTTCCGTTTTCCTTTCCTTAGGTGTCTTCTGTGCCTTTCCGTATCTCCCCTCTCCAATTCCCTCTCTCTCGATTCTTACTTTGCTTACTTCCCCATCTCTCATTCCCATTCCTTCCTCTCCTCCATCCCAAATTCCCCTCATCCCCATTCTCTCCCACCTCCCTCTCCCCATTCCCCCTTCTCCCTCTCCCCATTCCTTATCTCCCTTCCCCCATCTCTCCCTCTCCCCCTTCTCCCTTCTCCCTCTTCCCCTTCCCCCCTTTTCCCTTTCCCCTTTCCCCATCTCTTCCCTTTCCCCTTTCCCCATCTCTTCCCTTTCCCCTTTCCCCCTTCTCCCACTCCCCTTTCCCCCTTCTCCCACTCCCCTTTCCCCCTTCTCCCTCCCCTTTCCCCCATCTCTTTCTCCCCATTCCCTCTTCTCCCTTTCCCCCTTCTCCCACTCCCCATTCCCCCTTCTCCCCATTCCCCCTTTTCCCCATTCCCCCTTCTCCCCATCCCTAAGGGAGAGAGGAGCGGGAGTGTGCCAGCGAGTGCCGTAGCAGAGAGCGCTTGACGTTCGGCCGTGCCATCGACGAACGAAGCCTTCCACTGGCGGCCACTGATAAGCCACGGTTGGCGGTGGCACTGGCTCTGGCTCTCGACGGTTGCCATTGCAGCTTGCCGTGAAGGTCACAGTACCTCCCGACGAAGCTCGTGTGTGTCTGTCTCCGTCCGTCTGTCTGTCAGTCAGTCAGTCAGTCAGTCTGTCTCCTTTTCTTCTTTCTTTCTTTCTTTCTTTCTTTCTCTTGCTCGTTCTCTCTTACTCTCTCTTCTCTCTCTTTCTTTTTCTTAAGACTTGTCACGTATTTCGTTTGTCAGGGATGTTCGAGAAATGCGTGCAAGGAAATGGATGAAAATGGGGATGACAGGGAATGGAATAAAGGCGGTGGCTGCGAGAATGGTGAGTGGAAAGTGCTAAGGAGAG